GAACATGGCACTTTCCAGCAGAGCTGTAATATGGTTATTCATAAACGTGCTGTTATTTCTGACATAGACATGAAAATGCCTGAACTAGTTCATGTGTACCCATCTTGGTTCAGGGCACAGACTTGGAGGGTCTTCAGTTTAAATCTGGTCTGGAGATGCATCATTGTTAGGTGTTGCCTGCAGTGGCGTACCCAAGGGGTGGCAAGGGTGGCCAGGGTGGCCATGGCCACCTCTAGAAAATTGCTGCAATTGGATGAAAATGGTTTTAAATACATTTCTCCAAGGCTAGATCATCAGAAGTGGGAATGGAAAAATTAATATCTATGTTAAAAAACCAGAACAGGAGTTTGTATTGAACTGGACCAGCTTGTTTACACAGCAAAACGTCTAACATGCAGTTTTTCATTCAATGAAATATTAAAATACCACTGATCATAAACATTGTCATTTCACAGATTGGTTCACATTTTATTATTGGGCTAACACTTTGTTTGATTAGCTTTATTAAAAACTGAGTTCTTCTGATTTATTAAAAGAAAGAGTCCTTTGTCTTCATTCTTCTCTTGAGCTGGAAAGGAAGACACAGTTTAGAAGCAAATGCACGAGACCTTGAGGCAGTCCCATGCAGATTAGTTCCTCCTGAGGAGAGACAGGGTAAATAACCTTCCGAGGAACAGCTCCTTCATGACGTTACAACAGGCTCAGCAGCACTTTTAAGAGGAAAATAAGCTTTGTGGCACTTAGTTCCACCTTGCCAAGGGGTGCTGTAGGCATTTAAGGCTATGTTGTCGGGCCTTGAGTTAATTCTCTTTTATTTTTATTAGGTCTTAAAGGTTCACTGCTTTCAGAAAGCAACATTTCCTTTACAGTTCAGATGGGATAGGGTATGCGTTTGTACCATGTGTCTTAGGTGTGTTCTTGCTGTGTCTTATTTCTAATTCCATGCTATCGTTCTTTTTTAAAACACAGAAACGGGTTCGTTACCTGTTTTTTTTCGCTATGTTTCGTCTGCGGCTGCAGACTTCCTCAGGCTGACGCTGATGGTGGCGTCACTTCCTTCTCCGTTTATCTGCGGGCAGCAGAGGACGTTGTCACCCTCTGCTGCCCGCTCTCATACATCATACAACACGCTTTAAAGACCTGCGGATTCCCGACATGGGCAACAAACAAAGGAAAACGGCAAACAAAAACAGAAAGAAAAGAACAACCTAAGCAAAGAACCAGAAACCCAGAAAGACAAGAACCAAAACCAGTGATAACCCTACCATACATCAGAGGCATAACAGAAAAAATAAGAGCAATGATGAAGAAACACAACATAAACACACCGACAAAACCATACACAACAGTTAGAAACAGACTAGTGCACCCAAAAGACAAAATATCAGCTGGACTTAAATGTGGAGTCATTTATGAAATCTCATGCAAAATATGCAATAAAACATACATAGGAGAAACCGGACGCCAACTCAACACACGAACAATAGAACATAGAAAGGAGTGCGAGAAAGAAACAAGTCGAAAACACACAAGAGCAGCAAAAGAAGAAGCAGAAAGTACAATAAAGAAGTCAGCCGTAACAGATCACTGCACAAGGGAAAACCATATAATGGACTGGGACAACACAAGGATCATAAACACCGAACAACAGAAATACAAATGATGGCTCAAAGAAGCAATCGAGATAAGGAGACGTGGATGTGGGACCATGAACAGGGACGATGGATGGAGTTTACACGTTGGACCGCGCATGGGACTGCATCGTCGGAGAGGGGAGAGCGGGCAGCAGAGGGCGACAACGTCCTCTGCTGCCCGCAGATAAACGGAGAAGAAGTGACGCCACCATCAGCGTCAGCCTGAAGAAGCCGGCAGCCGCAGACGAAATGTAGCGGGAAAACAGGTAACGAACCGTTTCTGTGTTTTAAAAAAGAACGATAGCATGGAATTGTACCATGTGTGTTTGTCCTGCATGGTTAATTTGCCTGGAAGTTCATCAGTTTTTTGTCTTGCATTAAAAATATATGTATTTACATATTTGTCTTAAGTTTATATCTGTGTTTGAAATACTGCCACAGATTCCAAGTTTAAAAGCGTATTGAAAGATTTTAGCTGCCATGTTGTTTTTAACATTGTAAAAGAAGTTTCTATTGATTATGCGTAAATGTTCAGAAACAATAAACAATTTTGAAATAATCTCTTGGTCAGAATTCTTTTTTATAGAAAATTAATCTTTTTTAAGTGAATTAAAATGTAACATGAAAAATATAGTTTGATTATGTGTAAATTAATAAACTGGTGTCAATGGAAACATATTAACCCATGTTAATTTGGTTGAATGTAAATATATTAGGTTGGATCAATTTTAAATTATAGCTTGGTTCAATAACAAAATTACGATAGTATGTGAAGAAATTAATTTGGATCAAAGCAAAAATTTAAGGTTTGGTCAAGTGAAGTAATATGGCCTACATCAACATAAAAGAACCAGGTCATATTAAGTGACTCACTGTAGTTTCTGTGAAGTCCGTTATTTTGGATGTGAAAACTGGACATCAATTTTTTTTTGTTTGAGCAAGGTTATTTTTTTTTCCAGTGTAGGTGTGAGTGTGTGTCCATGGTTGGACTGGAGACCTGCTTCAGGTTAGCCTAGCAAGCCAGACCAAATAATACATTTATTTAATCTGGCAACGCTCCATTGACGGCTCTCGGTTGTGGGGCGGGTTCTACCGTTGTTTTTCAAATGATCTCCACATGCTACTGGACAGTGAATGTGACATACTCACCGCAACAGCTATCGGTAAATGAGGCGGTCCGCAGTTGAAGAAGGAGAATACATCATTTTTTCTTAATAAAAAAGCTCTTAAATACATCTATCTGCTCCTGATTGTGATGAAGCCCAAGTTCTAATTGTCCAAAATTGATGTAAAAGCCATTTCAAACGAGCTGTCGCCATCTTGTTTCACTATGTTGCATCATCCCACCCACCAGGCATATAGAGTGCCCTGATTGGCCCACAAAGCGGATAAAGCTCTGTGATTTGTTCACTAAGCAGATAGAGCACTATGATTGGCCCACTATTACGGACCAATCACAGCTCTTTATGTGTTTGAAACCCCTCTAGAGAGCTGTGATTGGCCAGCCAGAGTCCCGGTAGGAGCTGCGGAGGTTCCAATGGAGCATTCCTAGACGTATTTATGTCGATGTCCTAGACCAAACTTTGCAACGCAAGAATTTGGTCTAGTTCATAGGCTAGCTCCAGGTGTGACCCTACCTCAGGAGGTACCAGCTCCACACAACCTTGAGCAGGATCAGGTGGTTGTAGAAGATGGACAGGCTAACTGGATGGATGGAAAAATTGTATAAAATGTGAAATTGGCTTTACTTCATGGATACTTATTGGCTTTTACTCTAAGGTAGTCTGTTTCCACCACCAGGCTTCATAGTGTGAAGTTATTTCTCTGACTGGGGTCTGCACAGGTGAGCCTCCTTGCTTTGCCTGGAAGGACATTAATACAAAAACAAGCAGTTTTGGTTCAATACAAACAAAAATCCACTATACAGACACTACTTTGTTATCTGAAACACAGCGTTCACTTTATGAAACAAGTTGCACAGTTCTGGCAACACCAAACAGGTCGTCACACACTGTCAAAAGTTCCTGACTCAGCTGTGGATTTCACCTTTATGATAGAGCAGCAGCAGCACAACCTAGTGGTGTTTAGGAGGAACAACTATCAGCAGTAGTGGACCTCTTGTTTGATAATGTTTGTTTTAGTTATTTAACAGTCTCAGAGTTATGAAACCCTACGGGCTCGGGATAGGAGGGGGCTAAGAAGAGAGAGGGATGGGCGTAATCCTGGTGTGTGTGTGTGTGTGTGTGTGTGTGTGTGTGTGTGTGCGTGTGTGTGTGTGCGTGCGTGCGTGCGTGTGTGTGAGTGTGTGTGTGTGTGTGTGAGAGAGAGAGAGAGAGAGAGAGAGGGGTGTGTGTGTGTGTGTGTGTGGGGGGGGGGGGGGGCTAAGGGTGTAACTGAAAATTACTACCTGTTGAGATCACTCAAAACCTGATTTTGTTTACCTGAATTTAATTAGGCTTTATATTGTCCTCATTTTAATGAAACACATTGAATTTGGCTACATTTGTTTGTTTTTCAAAATAATTAGCTGTATGTGTGTGTGTGTGTGTGTGTGTGTGTGTGTGTGTGTGTGTGTGTGTGTGTGTGTGTGTGTGTGTGTCTTTTTGGAGGTGTTTTATAGAAACTCCTTAATTAAAATACATTTGAGTCATCCAGGAAAAAATATCTTGCTGTAGGGGTAACAGTGTTGTTGCTTTCTGTTCTGCTTCCTTTCCTGGAACCATCTCTTCTGAGCTTATACAGAGACTGCAGTTAGATATGCGCAATTGGATTAAGCTGCCAGTAAGGAGCCATCAGGCATCTGTCAAGTGGACTAGTGTTTCCAGCTTCAGCTCACTGATATAATTGAACCAGATCTTCTAATGATATACATGTGTGCTGTTTTTGCATACTTTATAATATTAATCGTTGTAAACACAAGTGTCAATTATTAACATCCAAATTAACTTGAGGTTTACTATTGTAACCCTTCCATTGTTTTATCAGGTGACCCCTCCGGGACAGGGGATGGTAAAAAATGGTTGATAGTTTATCCCTTGGCAAGGGAGAAGTGGTGCGCTCCTAAAAAAAAATCATAAAATTATTTTAAAAAGCACCTGGGGCCATCTGACCCCATTAACAATGCCGGAGGGTTAAACGGGAAACGCTCACTGAGACTACTGTTTGCGTCAAATCAGATGATGCTTTTATTGTGAAGACAGGAAGTTGAGAACCCGGAAAAGGAAGATTCGAACGAGTGGACAAGCAATCTGTGTGGGTCGAGTTTTGTAGTTTCTCCTCTGCTGCCCAGAGTAGTAAGTGGACTCAATTATCCAACAACTTTTAAATATACTAACAAGTTAGTTGTCATCCAGCCAGGCGCACTGCAACTCATTCAGATCGTCTTTTTTGTGTTTTAACGCAGAAGTTAGAGGAGCTAGCTAACTTTAGCTAACTCCGCTTTAAGGCAGTTTTCTGCTTTCACGACTCGAGCTGCGCTGACTGGATCCTTTAACAGAGATGAGGATTAATAACGTCTGTGTGGTTGCTGGCTCTCTGCTTGTGTGCTCTCATACTTAGTTAATGTTTGAACAAGGAGCTGTTCCTAACTGACGCAAACAGGTGAAGAAATGAAGGAAAGGATTGAAAGAAGGTTATTTTCTCAAGCTTTAAATGACGATCTGTGTGCTGCTTACATGTTATTGATGTTCAAAACAATTTAAGCGATCAAATACTAGAGTTATAATCGTGTTTTCTGCGCAACAATTACGTGAAAGACAAAAACAACGGACAGGTGTTATAAAACAGAGTCCATGTTTGTCTGATTAATGTAATGTATGAGTCGTGTGTTCATTTAGACTGTAATGTCGCTTTCATAACACATTTTAACCTGCTGCAGGGTGTTTGAACTTTGACACAGATATCCGCCTCTCTGGAAAATCACATGCAGATCCTGATTTTGTGGGTTTCTGTTTGCTTTTGTGGCGTTAGATTCCAACAAGGGCGACTTGTGTCACATTTGCATGTTCTGCTTTAAAAGTTCTGACAGTTTTCTTGGGGTCGAGTTATGTAAAGTTTGTCTAATGTCAGCTTAAAGTCCACTGACCTTTGGCCTTTATGCATGCTGTGAAATCTAAGCTATGAAATAGTGGACTGTTCTTACTTCTTTTTGATAAGCTATTAACTTATTCTGCTTCTTAACTTTGTAGCAATCAGGATGTTTTGAATTCATTCATGTTTATTTCGTTATTTAGACCTCTGCACACACATAGAGGAGGATGTCTGCAACTGGGAAAAATCCTTTTCAACACATCGTCGAGCCTCTTGACCCCAAGAACTCAAATCAGCAGTTTTTCAACCTCCTGAATCTTGGAGATCCGAGATATGGTAACGGATCGTACCTGAATGCTGAAATTTGATTGGTTTATTTCCAGCGTTTTAAACAACATTTTACTTTCAGAGCGTTTGCCATTCTCCATCCGGGTTCTGTTAGAGTCTGCTGTTAGAAACTGTGATGAATTTCTGGTAAAGCAGTCTGATGTGGAGAGCATTCTCAACTGGAAGCAGACCCAGACTCAAACAGTGGAGGTACCATTCAGGCCGGCCCGTGTCATCCTCCAAGACTTCACGTATGTCTGCTGCACACACAGTTTCCCCTTTTACTCAGAGCCTATTGAAAGGAAAAACTTTCTTATTCTGTAATGAAAATGTCATAATAAGGTTAGGGGTCAACTCACTCTGCTACTTCTGTGAGTGCCTTAAGCTTGGTTTATCCCTGACACATTTACTCTCCGCTTGGTGATGCGGCTCGCGGATGGAACGCGCTTCACAACTTGCAGTGTTTATGGTTCATGTGGCTCGTCTCCGCGGTGAGCCAATATTCTCCCAAACTGTAGGGGGCAGCATGGAGCTCTACGGCATGCATACAACACTACACCGTAGTAGAAGTAGAAATCACTGTTTACAACATGGCATTCCAGCATTTTTAACAGCGTCCTCGTCTTTTCCGACAGTGCGAGCTATTTCTCTCCAAGAATTATTAACAACATGTTGATCACAGTGATCTCTGAGAGCTGAATCATACAAATGTCTGTATTTACGAACCTCTGCCATACTAGTTCTTGCCGGTCCGCCATGTTTTTCCGCATCAGACCGTCCGCGTGGTTAGAAAATTTCCTAGGTGCGCGTTGCGGAAAGTTTGGGCCGTGCGGAGGCGCGGTGGAGGGGCGTGGTTGTTAAAAGACGCAACTTTTCCGTTCGGACCTCGTGGACGCGTCAAGCATAAACCAACCTTTAAGAGGCTGGCTGAGAATAATCTTACACTTAGAAAATAAACAATAAACAGATCTCTAGTTCAGAACATTTAAACGCTTCCTTATCAAGACAAAATATGTTGCAAACATGACGTTGGATAAAGAAAAAACATTTCAAAATGTATTTAAACACAAGCTAATTGGAAATGCCAAAAGTAGTTTATTCTAACAACATTTGATCTAACAACTGTCATGATGGGGTGTAGTTTTTTGACCCACGACATGTAGAATCACCACTGTGGCAAAGGTAAGTAAAAAAAGTATTTATTTTTGTTTGGTTGAAGTGCAGGTGAAGGTCTGTGGTCGGGAGGGTCCAGTAGTGTTCTGAAGCAGAGACAAGGATGAGTAGTTGCAGTAAAATGAGAATAAATAGAGGTGAGAGGAGGCTTACGGTTTCCTGAGCATTTGGGGAGCTTGAGAGGAGGGCGAGTCAGGTCTGGCTGTGCGAGATGGTTGTGAGGGGCAGAGATGATGGCTGGGAGCTGAGCACAGGAGTCCAAAGTATCCGAGCGGGCCAGGTGAGCGTTGGAGAGCAGGCGGTCAGGGTGAGCGGTGTGGCTGGCAGGCAGGGTGATCCGAGAGTTTCTTTCATGAAGAGGAGCGCAGTCACATGAATGAGAGGTACCTGGGGGGGAGTCGGAGGAACAGGGCAGGTAAGTACGAGGCTAGCAGGGAACACAGGAGACAACAAGCTAGAGACAAGCAGAGTGCAGGCGAGATACTGCCCAATACTGAGTCATCATCCGGCACTGGTGAGTTGTCACGCCGCTCCTTAAATCCCCTGACAGCTGATGAGAAGATCCACAGCAGCTGCTCTCCGGGACACGCCCACCTGCAAACAGAAAGACTCAGACCCAGACAGAGGTTAGCGCAGCGCTAGGGATGTGAATCTCAGAGCAGCTCACGATTTGATTCGATTCCGATTCTTGGGGCGCCGATTCGATTCAGAATCGATTCTTGATTCTCAATTTAAATCGATTCACAATCAGTATTAACAGAGAGTGTCCGCTCCAGGATGAACTACTTTGTTGTACAAGTTAGTTAAAGCTATGGGACGTTTTTATTTAACTTTAAACTGGTCGTGCTCCAAAAATGCTAATTTACAAGGTAAACTAAAGTGATTCTAAAACTGTAAACAGAAGCAATCTTTTGACCAAAAGGCAACATTTATTTTTGCTTACCTTGTAAAATATAACTAATCTGTAGTTATTAACAGTAGCTTTGAAAGTAATACGGTCAAATACTTTTCAAGTATGTGTAGAAACAAGTTACATGAGTAATCCTGAGTACTCATTTATCAACTTAGAAAATAAATATGAGAATCTAAAATTTCTGAGTATGGAAACAATTACATTCAAGTGCCCTCTTATCTGCAGATTCAAACATAAATCATCTCAATTTATGGGACCACAAAAGTAAACGAAGTACTGACTCTCCTAACAAAGATCACAAAAGTGCATCTCAAACCTGTAACATGCCAAATATTTCAGTTCTTGGAATCGATTCTGAACCTTTGTGAATCGATTCTGAATCTTTATAAACAAGAATCCCGATTCAGACTTGAATCGATTTTTTTCAGCACCTGTACTCAGCACAGCCCATGACGACCACCATTTAGGACAGGATATTTGGTGTTTCTGCAATTAGCTTCTCGGTCTCCAGGTTTCTTGTTTTTAAGGTTCTTGTGGTTCTCATGAGTTCCCTGAAAGTACTTGAATTTCAGTAGATTATTTAAAAAAGTTCTAATCTTAAATAAATGCTTTGGAAGTACTTGAATCTGCAAGTGAAATGGTTAAAATGCTGACCAGCACACAGTTTACGTTGCAGACTTTCACAGGAAGTGTGTGTTCAAGTAAAAATGGACGCTCCCTTGGCCCCAGCTGTCGGTACAGCTGAAAATGTTTTTCCTCAAGTGAAATGATAAACAGTTAAAGGCTTTTACTTGCAAAAACACCAACATTAATGCTAGTGTTGCTAGAGGAATTACACGGCTCGAGGTGCAATGATATTGGTTTTCCTGTTGCAGATATCGATGCAGATCTGTAGGCGACACGGTCAGCCGACAGCCGATATGTACTGCCGATTGTCATGGCCTATGTCTAGACATTTTCCACCTTATTTTTTGTGCAAAAATGTCCCTCATAATGCCAGTTTATGCACAAAACTTCTGAAGCTGAATCAGTTTTTGAACACTGAATTCAACTAATTGTTAAATCTTTACTTTGTGCACTGCTCTGTGTTAAAGGCCTAAATAAAGTATATATTTGAGTATTTTTGATGCAGGTGTTATTAGTGAATGTAAAAATACATTTGAATAAAATTCTGCAACAGCACCGGGCTGCCCGAGGATGTGCCTGACTTTAAATCGGCTTTACTATGGACAAATATCGGCTGATGCCGATATATAGAAAACAGTAAATATCAGCCGGATATAGTGTTCAGCTGATATATTGGTGTACCCATAAACACGATTGTTAATTCTCAAGTAATGCTGTTTCTGAAGAAATGTTTACGTTAAGTTACAGGAGTTTAGGGTAGAATCCAGACAACAGGTAGCAGTAGCAACAGATTTAGCTCTGCAGGTATATATTTACATGTATAGGGCTAGCAGGAGTCTAACAGGAGTTAGCATGTTTAGAGCAAAATAAGCAGTTTGAATAATTAAAATGCATTTTTTATTAAAAGCTTTAGTTTACAGTAATAACCATGTCTAATGTTTGATTCTCTGTCTCATAATTTTAATTAAAAGTTTTACTTTGAGAGCACGTTTGAATGATTAAAATGCGATTAATTTAGATTAATTAATTACAAAGCCTGTAATTAATTAGATTAAAAATTTATTCAAGTCCTAGCCCTAATTATATTATATTATATTACATTACATTATATTATATCATATTATATTACATTACATTACATTACATATATTATTTTGCCATTGGTTGCATTTCAGTGTCAGAATGTCTCCTGGCAGAGCTGTCTCTGTTCCCTTTTTCAGTGAGCACATCCATGTTTTCTTGGTGTTTACTTATCACAATGAGGAGCTCTCATTGTGGACATAAGTAGGACACTTTCTTTTAATGTCTTGTTTCAGGCCCACAAACACATGACACCTTTTTGCACTGTAGTGTAAACTTCTGGTGATGGGTTTGATAAACAGTTTGGGGTTAGCTGATTACTAGTTCCCTGGTTGTCCACAAAAAGGTCCCTTTTGCAGAAAGAAACAGACTTTAAATGTACAGATTGAGCTGCTCAGTCGTCAACTCCAGTTCAGCCCAGTTCAGATACTGGCTTACAGGAGATGAATGATGCCTTGCTGTGGCTAGTTCAAGTACACATTTTAAGCCCCACCCCTCCATATGTTTAAAAATTTCAAAACCACTCGACCACCTCAAGTGATGTTTTCCCGATGTTGAGTCACAGAGGGAATATTGACTCTCTTTTGTGAATGTGACATACTAGACAAGTATTTGGTTTATACTAAAACCTAGTTTTAGATGATGACAATCATCAACGTTGAAACGTTAGTTTGCACCTCTGATGAAAACCTCTTAACTGTAGAGTACTCCATCTGTTCCTTGCCCTATATTTCATGTCCCTCAGCTGTGGAGCACCTACAATATCGACATCGGATGATGCACAGAGCACCTCCTGTACCTAGTGTTACAACCCAGGTGTCTAGCAGACCTAGGGTATCATGGAGGACACGTGACACAGGCAAAATCTGTATAAAAAAGGATTTATTTAATAAAAATGCTCCTGCTCTGTGTCTGGATGTTGCAGTGGCGTTCCTGCCGTGGTGGACTTTGCTGCCATGCGTGATGCTGTGAAGAAATTAGGCGGCGACCCAGAAAAGATTAATCCAGTTTGCCCTGCTGACCTTGTCATCGATCATTCCATCCAAGTGGACTTTAACAGGAAGTAAGACCAGGTTCATCAAACTCTTTCCACCGTTGAACCACCGTAGCATCATCAGCTTATCGGCGTTGTGTCACCCTGTTGAGATCACCTCATATGACTCCAGATTTGCATTCTCTGTCTCTGACGTGCTTTCTGCCACCTGTAGGTCCGACAGCCTTCAGAAAAACCAAGACCTGGAATTTGAGCGTAACAAAGAAAGATTCCAGTTTTTAAAGGTAGTAACTGGTAAATGTCTTCATGTCTGCCCAGGTGTAATGTTCTAGTTTTTAATGTAGTGTCATTTTTTCTTAGTGGGGGTCTAAAGCCTTCAAGAATATGCGGATAATTCCCCCTGGCTCAGGAATTGTTCACCAGGTCAACTTGGAGTATTTGGCACGAGTGGTGTTCAACTACAATGGCTTCTTTTATCCTGACAGTCTGGTGGGCACAGACTCCCACACCACCATGATCGATGGCCTTGGGGTCCTCGGCTGGGGTAGGACACTAGCAACTGTTTTCATGTCAGACCTCGACCTTCACCAGTACACATCCTCTAAGGCAGACTTCCTGTTTGTCTCCATTTTAAAAGCACCAATCCTGAACTCCCCATTGCAGAGCTGTAGGAATGCAGAGTGCATTAGGCCTAGTTGTTTTTTAGTCTCATGGCACCGAACAAGCACATGCAGATGCTAACTAGGAACTGATTACTTGTGAAGCTGACGTTAGATGATTTGCTCTACAGGACTACCTCATCCATACACGGTTGGAGAAACAGGATTATATTTGATACTGCCTTTCTTTGGTGGTCTCGATACACGGGAGGCGACAAACGACCGCGATCAGCGAAATTCGTCGCTGTCGTTTTTATTACCTGACACATGGGAGGCGACCCGCGCCAGCGGCCAGCGGCAAAGCCGTTGACGCGTTCTGTTCCATGGCGAAATCTAATCTTCCGTTGTTTTGATTGGCTGTGTCAAGTTGGAGGGAATTAAGGTTATTTAAGCGGTTCAGAGATAATAAAGTGGTAGATATGATGTTTCACAAGGTGCTGCTAGAGTTGTGTGACATCTTACTTCTGATTTTACTATAAAAAAAAACAGAGAATGGGTTCATCCCATATTACAAACCAGGAGAGGGCTACTCTTGTTTACCAGGATGTGCTTCAATTTATCACACGGCTTGGACCTCGCATTAAGATGAACACAGTCACAGAAGGATAAACGGAGTCCACGTTTGCTAGGAGATGTCCGCTCATTGGTCAGTGAATGAAACCTCCGTTGATTGGTCCTCGTCCGAGCGACAGCGATGAAAAGTTGAAAATATTTCAACTTTCTGGGATCGCGTCGCTGGGTCACCTGTGCACGACACGTGCACGAGCGCAAAATTTCACACGCACGTTTTTCGCTTTTCGCTTGGTAGGAGGAAGACCCGCGATTATCGCTTTGTCGCGCATGTCTCATTGAAAATGAATGGAGGAGAGGCGATGTCGCCTCCCGTGTGTCGAGCCCATTTGTCAGGGACCGACATTTCCTGATAGACTGGAGCATCTCACTGGTTTATGCCTCCAGTTGTTCTCTGGGTCTAGCTGCAATTAAATGAGCTTAGGTCTCCAGACTGCCCTCTCCCCAGCTACTTGGGCCAGCTCCTGCGGGGCGATCCCAAGGTGTTCCCTGGCCAACTGAGGGATGTGCGTGTGTCTGTGTGTGTGTCCCTGTCCTCTGCATCGGAGCTCTCGGCCCAGCGAGCAGGCAGGCAGCTGCTCAGCGGAGAAAGCAGTGTGTGTGTGTGGCTCGAAGCAGCAGAGCACAAGATTATGAGGAGGACACACATAGCAAGTTAATTAAAAAATATGGATCAGAGTCCTAAATGAATAAACATAATACAAGTCTGCAAAAGCAACACATCCCAATTATGGACACCGGGGACTTTCCCTTTCATATCAAACGCTGTCCACGGGCTCAAGGATTTCAACATTCCGGAGAAGTCTTTCAGATTTGTGTGTGAACACTACACCCTACACTACCCGTACCAGACCGAACTCACGCCATCCAGCCCCACCAAACCCCGACCGCACCGACGCTGATGTGTAAGCGCCTAAAGGCCCTCCAGCGTGTCCTGTGTCTTCCCTTGGGTCTCCTTCCAGTTGGACGTGCCCAGAAAACCTCACCCAGGAGGCACCCTGACCAGATGCCCTAGCCACCTCAACTGGCTCCTCATGATGAGGAAAAGCAGCTGCTCTCGGATGACCCTGCAGGAGCAGCGAATCTATTCCGAGCCCCTCTTGGATGACCGAGCTTCTCACCCTATCTCTAAGGAAGAGCCTAGCCACGCTGCGGAGAAAACTCATTTCGGCCGCTCGTATCCACGATCTTGTTCTTTCGGTCACTACCCAAAGCTCATGACCATAGGTGAGGGTAGGAACGTAGATCGACCGGTAAATCGAGAGCTTTGCCTTCTGACTCGGCTCTCTCTTCACCACGACAGACCGGTACAACGCCCGCATCACTGCAGACGCAGCGCCAATCCTCTTACCAATCTCACGCTCCATCTTCCTCTCACTTGTGAACAAAACCCCGAGATATTTAAACTCTTCCACTTGAGGCAGGACCTCATCCCTGACTTGGAGTAGGCATTCAAACCTTTTCCGATTTAAGAACATGGTCTCAGATTTAGAGGAGCTGATTCTCATCCCAGTTGCTTCACACTCGGCAAACTGCTCCAGCGAAAACTGGAGATCAAGTTCTGATGAAGCCAACAGGACCACATCGTCTGCAAAAAGCAGAGACCCGATCCTCAGGCCACCAAAACGGACCCCCTCAACACCTTGGCTGCGCTTAGAAATCCTGTCCACAAAAGAGTCCAAGTCTCACAGGAAACGAACCCAACTTACTGCCGACAATGCGGACCAAGCTCTGACACCGGTCTTATAGAGACCTAACAGCCCTTATCAAAGGGCCTGGTACCCCATACTCCTGGAGTGCCTCTCCACAGGGCCCCCCAAGTGACGCAGTAGAACACCTTCTCCAAATCCACAAAACACGTGGATTGGTTGGGCGAATTCCCGCGCACTCTCCAAGATCTCCTAAGGGTATAGAGCTGGTCCAGTGTTTCACGGCCAGGATGAAAATCACATTGTTACTCCTGAATCTGAGGTTAAATTATCAAATGGGCCCTCCTGTCCAGAACCTTCTGAACAGACCTTACCAGGGAGGCTCAGAAGTGTGATCCCTCTGTAGTTGGAAACACACCCTGTTCTGCCAGTCCAGTGGAACTGCCCCCAATGTCCACGTGATAGAGTCGCGTCAAACACCACAGCTCCATGACATCTTTCGGGCAAATCAGAATGAATTTTATTGCCAGCGCTCCAGCGATCCAGAGCATAGGAACTTGACTCCACAGTACAGCCTGACCAAGATTACACACACACAAATAGACAGGACAGATACAGGCAGACCACGAGAGCAGCCATGACGGCGCTCATTTCAATAGATGAAGAGGGGATTACATGAGGAGAGTTCGGGGAGGGAGAAAAAGGCATTAACAGAGGTACACCGGCAGGGTGTAGTTCTACTATGCAAAAAAACACCCAACATATAAGCACGAACGTCACAGTTCACAACGTGAGACCCGGTAGGTAAGGGGGAGGGGCTGGGACCCTGGTTTCCTCAGCGGGAGCTGCCTGTGTGGCGCTCGGCCAACTGAATCCACAGGTGGTTGGGAGGTCATGGGAAAGCACAGAGCACAGTGAGTGCCTTCAGCTTGATGACCTCGATGCAGAGACCACAATCTGAAGGCGGGGGGGGGGGGGGGGGGGGGGATGGGTAGGGTTTCACAGCATTTGTCTGCATTCCTTCCATCGTGGGTTTTTTTTGCACGCAACTCCAAGGCTGTTTATGGCATCAGATTGGATAACAGAACTTTGTTTGGGTCAGGCAGAGATAATTTTCCTCTCTGCCTTAAAGTCTGTATTGATCATTGAAATCCTCCAGTGAAGCCAATTCGGTGACTAAACATCTCCACACCATCCGGTGACCCTCTCCGAGATGACATCCATTTTGCGCACTAACACCGGTAACACAGCTAAGACATTGTCCAGCTTGCGATTCACCTCGAGTAACGTCCCAGTCTGTGAGGTCTCCACCCGGACGGTGCCGTCCATGGTACTCCTGAATCTGAGGTTGAATTATCAAATGGACCCTCCTGTCCAGAACCTTCTGAACAGACCTTACCAGGGAGGCTCAGAAGTGTGATCCCTCTGTAGTTGGAAACACACCCTGTTCTGCCAGTCCAGTGGAACTGCCCCCAATGTCCACGTGATAGAGTCGCGTCAAACACCACAGCTCCATGACATCTTTCGGGCAAATCTCATCCACCCCCGGGGCCCTGCCCAGAGGGTTTCTTTGTTTTTTACCACCTCAGTGACCTCAGCCCCAGAGATTAGAGAGTCCAACCCAAAGTCCTCAGACTCTGCTTCCTCATTGGAATACTTTTTTATTTCGTTTACTAAAAAAAAAAAAACTGTCACTGCTACAAACCTGAACCCACTCAGAGATAGAAGATGTTGATCTGACAAATTATTAACGTGTTCTCTTTGTTTAAAACTGTGTTTAGGTGTTGGCGGGATTGAGGCGGAGGCTGTGATGCTGGGTCAGCCCATAAGCATGGTGCTGCCTGAGGTGGTGGGATACAAACTCCATGGGACACCAGACAAACTTATTACCTCTACTGATATCGTCCTCACCGTCACTAAGGTAGTGGGACAGGAACTCCCACAGCCTTAACAGCAAAATGGTCTCTTTCCCTCTTTCTGAGTCTTTCTCACATTCTGTCATCCTTCACTCATTTCAGCACCTCCGTCAGGTGGGAGTAGTGGGGAAGTTTGTGGAGTTTTTTGGCCCAGGTGTGTCCCAGCTGTCCATTGCTGACAGAGCCACCATCGCCAACATGTGTCCTGAGTACGGCGCCACGGCGGCTTTCTTCCCCGTGGATAACATCAGCATTCAGTACCTGGAGCAGACTGGTCAGTGTTCCGCTGTAGACCCTAACCCCACTGCTTTAGGTGTGCTCAACAGGAAATGGTTCCACCTGGAACTCTCCAGGTTCAGATGCTTGTGGCGATTCTCACCTGAGTTTATCAAAAGGTTTTACAAACTGATCATGGAATTTGGGAAACACACAGGAGTCAGAACTCCTGTTGTCCGTGTACGCCAGGACTGATGAGACTAAATGAAGATCCAAAAGACCCTGCAGAGGAGGCAAAGCAAAGTTCAGCTTCAGTTGTTAGCTAAACTAATTCCTTGGTAAACATTGGTTTAAAGGCCAGATTTACGTGAAAATAGTCTTCTACACCTATTTCCTGCGTTAGCCGCTGATAGAAAATAGACGAGGAACATTCAGATGAGAAAAGACTCACAGATCTACATCACACTGAAAATTAACTTTCATCATCTCACTCGTCTTGGCTCGTGACGGGGAAGGCTGCTGTTGGTTTAGCGTCCAGGACGAGTTGACTTGGTCTTTAGACCGAAAAAGTAAATAAAGCCTTGATATAGCCTAGATGATATATTTTTATTATTATAGTCTGAAATTACCACATAAAGCCACATGATGCATAATGACTTTTGCAATAAATATTTTCTTCTAGTTGCTTCTGGATTTCTGTAGAGAAAGTTTCTGATCCTCTATGTAAACAAATGGGTTCTTGTATAAATAGTTTGTTGAACACAGCTACCATCAGGCTCATGAATCTGGTGTGCCGGTGTGGAAGCGGTGATGTTAGAGACCATTGATTTCTGTGACTTGTCTCCTTTCTTGTTTTATTGACTTTTCTGGAAAATCTTGTACTTTTTTTTGCGTATTTAGCTATAAGTTTTAATCTGTTTTAACTGATCTTAAGAGTGCAGCGCTTTGGGCCACCTTGATTACTGGTGAAAAGGTGCACTACAAATAAATAAATGAAATCTTCAATCAATCAATCAATCAAAGATACTTTATTAATCCCAGAGGGAAATTAGAGTTTCAGTACACACAATTCAGAGATCAGACATACATGGGCAAGACACATGACAAGAATTGGTGACTGTGGTCATTCACAACCCTGAGTCGCGCTACCTTAATAGAGATAAGAGGGTTACATGAGGATTGGTTCAGGTGGAGGGAAAAAAGAGGCACTTCAGAGCTACTCTCCCACCAGGAGGGCAGCTTTGCTCTGCAAAAAACACCTCAACAGATATGCAACTGACTTCAGACAACATAAGTGTCCACTAGGTGGGGTGGTGGGTAGGGACTATCCCCACTTCAGCTCCTGCAGCCACGATGAAGCAGTGCATGTCACCTCATTGTGGATAGGGGGGGGGGGGAGCATTGAGGGTTGGAGGGTTGCAGTGACCCTGGACGCTTCAGCGGCCTTCCCGCAGTCCCGCCCAGGCTGGGAAAGGAGACAGAGCTGAGTTGCCATAGCGACGGCACATTCCATATATCTTCTGAGGGGGGAGTTTTCTTTGGAGCCTTGCTGGCTCAAGGACGCCAGATTCCGATTAGAAATTGTTTTGGGGCCAGACAGAGATAATTTCCTCTCCGTCTTACAGTTTGTTGGTCCTCAACCTCTCAAAATCCCATCATAGGTTTAACAGCTTCTTTTGTCTGTTTACTGAAATTTTCTATTCCACTGAGAACTGATGCCAAATAAAGTATTTGAGTTAATCACAGTTGCCATGGTAATTGCTTCAGGAGATAATCGTTTCCCTCTGTCTTCTTTTAGGACGAGAAAGAGAAAAGTTGGACTACATCACAAAGTACCTGAAGGCAGTGGCCATGTTCAGAGACTATAATGATGCCGCTCAGGATCCAGATTACACTCAGGTAAGACAGTTACCTGGAAAAAAATTCCTACCTGCTCTTGTAAATGCAGACAGAACCCTGAGACTAAATGTTCTGGTCTCGTTCCTGGTAGGTGGTGGAGCTGGATCTCAGCTCAGTGGTCCCGTGCTGTAGCGGGCCCAAAAGGCCTCAGGACAGAATTCCAGTTTCTGACATGAAGAAAGACTTTGAGACGTGTTTGGGAGCAAAGGTAGGTCCCAGTACCACCACTTCATCACTGGATCCCAGTACTACCACATCATCACTGGTCCCAGTACCACCACTTCATCACTGGATCCCAGTACTACCACATCATCACCGGTCCCAGTACCACCACTTTATAACTGGTCCCAGTACCACCACTTTGGAGAGAAATTATGACACGTCTCTAAATAAAGTAACATTTTCTAGTGCAGAGTGGAGACAACCCATAGAAGCACTGATTTGATCTCATTTCAGAGAAAAATAGAACAGGTTAGATGCACCTAATGAATAAAATCACTAACAAACTCAGGAATCTGTTTCTTTGCTTCACTGTTCTGGTGCTGAAAATATCACTAATGCGGATCAAAGGAGATCCACAGATGAATGCACCTCTTATTTATTATTTGGAGACTACATTTACTGCAGCTGGCAGAGGCAGAGATTTTTTCTATTGATACACGGAATTTACAGAATCATTTTAAATGTTAATAGGGGAAGACTGCAGGAGGGAGTGGTAAAATACAGGGGGTCCCCAGCAAAAACAAGAAACTACGAGTCTGATGAAACCCGCTGGTTTTCCATCAGGCAGTCACGGGGCAGCTCCAACGACCCAGTGGCTGTGCTGGGTCAATGTTATCGAGCCCAGTCCGGCTCGGCCGTGAACGAGTCGAGGCGACGTCGTGCTCTGCTTAAGAAGAAGTGTTATTTTCCTGCTTCAGAAGAAGCGTCCAACGTGTTTTACCCTTTCTCCGAGACATGTCACGTCGCTAAGTTGTTAGCGCCCTGCGCTAACGCGTCAATAGTGCAGGGTAGCCTGCTGGAGGTTTTAAGGGTTCAGATGAAACACCCGGCCTCTCAGGCTGCTCACACATCGATCTTAAGTTGTCGCTGTTGCGCTCACGCCGTAATACAGTATTAGATGCGGTTAAAGTCAGACATGAAAAAATAAATAAATTTTACATGAATAAGTGATGCTTATCCTGGTGGGGAGAGGAGAACCTGGCCTAATAAGCACTGGAGGAAACCCTGTCAGATCGTCAACACTCATTTATCTTAATGCTATTGAAACATGTAAACGTAAAAGCATTATATCCACTGCTGCCTTTCTAATTTTAAACTCAGTAACTTATGCTGTAACTTCACCTTGCCCTGCCTGCTCCTCCTTGCTGCCCGCCGGCTGTGATCACAAGCGACAACATAGTAGTTCCCGCTGCTTCTTCGGGAAACAGCGCAAAAAAAAAAAAAACTTGGGATCTTGTAGGCGTGGCGGTGGGATTTCAGGCGTGGCGGGCCGCCACGGCTACGCCTATGTAAGGGAAACCCTGACCACATTATGACTGGTCCCAGTACTACCACTTCATGACTGGTCCCAGTACTACCACTTCATGACTGGTCCCAGTACTACCACTTCATGACTGGTCCCAGTACTACCACTTCATGACTGGTCCCAGTACTACCACTTCATGACTGGTCCCAGTACTACCACTTCATGACTGGTCCCAGTACTACCACTTCATGACTGGTCCCAGTACTACCACTTCATGACTGGTCCCAGTACTACCATTTCATGACTGGTCCCAGTACTACCACTTCATGACTGGTCCCAGTACTACCACTTCATCACTGATCTACGTTAGGAGGATACTGTATATATTGTACTGTTTTAAGGTGGACATGAGATAAAAACACTTCATTTGACATCTAAACATTTACCTTTTTTTTTAATAAAACTGGTTGAAAATGAAAACTTTCATTTTTCTGGTTTTTCATATTAAACAAAGGAACATTTTTACTGACATGACCAATGAACAAAACAACTAGAATTATGTAACAGATTTTTGTTGCTGTTTATCTGTTTTGTTGATGTTTATTTATAACATAAAACAGCGAAGCAGTGATTGTGTTTCAGATATCTAACGTGTTTTATGTCTGTGATTTCAGCAAGGATTTAAGGGCTTTCAGGTGGCCCCTGAACGCCACGCTGCTGTGGTCCCCTTTCACTTTGGTGGCAAGGAATACATATTAAGTCACGGCTCAGTGGTCATTGCTGCCATCACCAGCTGCACCAACACCAGCAACCCATCCGTCATGCTCGGAGCAGGTGGATTTAGAAACATTCACTCATTATTGTTCTCCCAAAATGAATCCATGCATGGAACCTTTCATTTCAGGACTCCTAGCAAAGAAAGCCATAGAATGTGGTTTGAGTGTGAAGCCGTACATAAAGACCAGCCTGTCCCCTGGCAGCGGAGTGGTGACCTATTACCTGAAAGAGAGTGGAGTGATGGACTACCTGTCTCAGCTGGGGTAAGCTGCTCATTAAGGTTCATTGGCATTCATCTGTGTTGGACAAACCTAAAAACCTTTTCCTGGTGAATAGAACTCTACTAAGTAAGGCACCCAGTACTACTACCTCATCACTGGTCCCAGTACTACCACTTCATAACTGGTCCCAGTACTACCAACTAGAAGTGCTCTTTCTTGAACTAAGGTGTCTGATGTTTTTCCTGGGATCTGCTTACCCAATTCTCCAGTTTGGGGGTTACTGCCCAGAGTGCCTCGATGACCACGGGCACCACTAATGTCTTCACTCTCCAGCCTTTCTCAAGTTCTTCTTTGAGTCCCTGGTACTTTTTAGTTTCTCATTTTCCTTTTTCCTGATGTTGCCATCACTTGGTATTGCCACATCAACCACAACGGCTGTCCTCTGTTGTTTGTCCACCACCACAATGTCTGGTTGGTTCGTCATCACCACTTTGTCAATCTTGATCTGGATGTCCCACAGGAGCTTGGCTCTCTCGTTCTCAACCATCGTAGGGGATGTTACCCGCTTTGACCTTGGGGCTTCCAGTCCATACTCTGCACAGATGTTTCTACACGATGCCAGCCACCTAGTTGTGGCGTTCCATGTATGCTTTCCCTGCCAGCATCTTACACCCTGCAGTAATGTGGTGGATTGTCTCAGGGGGCTCTTTGCTTAGCCTACACCTTGTATCTTGTCTGGTGTGGTAGATCTTAGCCTCTGTTGCTCTGGTGTTCCTGTGCAGCCATGATGAGTGCCTCTGCTGTCTTTCAGACCAGCTCTTTCTAGCCATTGGTAGGATTTCTCTATACCCACTTCAGTTTTCTGTCTGTGGTACATCCCATGTAGAGGGTTGTCCTTCCATGATGGTATTTCCAGCGTCTGTTCCTCTGTTTGCCTTTGTCTGAGACATTCCCTGAGCATGTCATCTGTTGGGGCCTTATCCTTAATGCATTTATGGATCTTGGATGTTTTGTCCTGGACAGTGGCTCTCTCACCTAGGCCTCCTTCCTTACGGCTAGTGTACAGTCTCAACGTGCTGGATTTGGGATGAAACCCTCAATGCATGTTTAGGAGCTTCCATGTCCTAACATCTATGGTCTGTATTTCTTACTTTGGCCAGCTTATTATTCCAGCAGGGTATCTGATTACTGGCAGGGCATAGCTGTTTATTGCCGAGATCTTGTTCTTGCCGTTGAGATGACTTCTTATGACTTGTCTTACTTGTAGGTATTTGGCTGTGGCTCATTTCCTTGTGGCTTCATAAAGGTTGACATTTGCTTGTGGGATACCAAGGTACTTGTAGCTGTACTCAAAGTCTGCAATTGTTCCTTCTGAGAATGAGACCCCTTCTGTGTGGACTACCTTCCCTTTCTTTGTCACCATCCAACCACACCTCAAGTCCGAATGACATTCCAATGTCAGTGCTGTAGATCCTGGTGGTGTGGATCAGTGAGTCAATGTCTCGCTCGCTCTTGGCGTACAGCTTTATGTCATCCATAGTGGTGGCTGATTGTAGTTCCATTCTTGAGTCAGTATCCATAGTCAATCTTGTTGATTATTTGGCTGAGGGGGCTCAGACCTATGCAGAATATCAGTCAGGAAAGGGCGTCTCCTTGATATATGGTACATTTGATGGAGACTTGGCCTCCATCAAATGTACCATTATTAATTTATCTCTTCAATCTGGCTCTGTACGTTTTCAAACATGCACTTATTGAACCTATCCTTAAAAAAACAAGTTTGGACTAATCTCAGCCTAAAAATTACCCATTTCTAAATTACCCTTTATCTCTAAAATATTGGAAAAGGTTGTGGCGGATCAGTTACTTTTCTGGAACTACACAACAGTTTTGATGAATTCCAATCTGGCTTTCGTAAAAAGAATTCAACAGAAACAGCTTAGCTTAAAGTTTCCTGTGGCATCATGATGGCTGCAGACAACGGGGAATTCACGGTGTTAGTATTGTTAGATCTTTCTGCAGCTTTTGACACTGTTGATCACAGCACATTAATTAGCAGACTTGGTGACTCGGTGGGGATCTCTTGAACTGTTCTAGACCGGTTTAGATCGTACTTTTCTAACAGAAGTTACAGTGTCTGTATAAGCCAAATCATGTCATATTCTACCCATCTGTTCTGTGAGGTACCCCAAGGCTCTGTGTTGGGCCCACTCTTATTTCTACTATACATACACCCTCTTGGACAGATAACTGATTGTTTTCATAATGTCTCTTATCACCTATATGCAGATGATATTCAGCTGTACTGTTATTTTAAGGCAGTGATACTCAATTAGCAGCCCGCGGGCCACGTCTGGCCCGTGAGCCCTCTCTTTGTGGTCCCCAAACCCCGCACGCACCCTCCACCCCCATCCCCGACGGTCGACTGGGAGGTGTAGGATAGAGCTGAGGAAAATAATCAAATAATCAATGCATCGAGATGCAGACATAAACGATTCTGCATCATAGAAGAGTAGCCATAACCAGTTATAGTGGAATGTAGTTTTGTTATTTTAACAGCGGCACCAGCGTGGCATCGGGATCTGTCAGAGTGGGTTTTCTCCACATTTACCGGGTAGGAAACGTTGGTCTGCCTTTATGTGGTACTGCAGGGCTGAGCGCTGGAGTTGTGACTTGGCTGAGACTGAACCCAAACTGAATCAGTCGCGCTCCGCTCGATCTGATAGAGAGAGAGAGAGACAGAGAGAGACGGAGACAGAGAGAGAGAGAGAGAGACAGAGGGAGAGAGAGAGAGAGAGACAGAGAGAAAGAATCGGTGGACGCTTCTCCAAATACGCATTATTATTTTCATAATTTCATTATTATTTCTCCTGGAAGCGCTCAGTCAGACCGAGTGCTGTGATGTCAGGAGATCCGGTCTTGGGGAGGGAGCGGGGTAGAGTGACGGCAGCTGCAGCGTAAACATCTGTCTTTTTTTATTTAGGGACACGGAGAAGTTAAAACTAGAGAGAAACTGGGAGGAAGCTTTGGTTCATTTGAAGTTACAGGAGATCTTGTCTCCTATCTGCTCCTCCAGAGACAGCATGGACATGAGGGTTACATGTTGAGGGTCACACAGGACAGGTTAGTGCAGTCACACAGTCGAGCTGGAGGGGGACAGGTGTTCTCCTTCTTTATATTGCAAGCTTGTGTGTGCATTACAGCCAGCGATACAAGCAGCAGCAGCAGTGCCCCTTTAACTTTCAGGGCTCTACATGGTCAAGGTCCTCCCTATATTACTGAACTGTCAAAGCCTTACGGGCCATTCCCATCTGTACCGGGTCGGCCCGGGCCGGGTAGCCCCAGTCGGCCCCAGCCTGGCCCGGTTGATTCCACACATCCTTGTCTTAAGCCCATGTGGGCTGATTCTACCCACCAATCAGAGGCTTGCTCTAATGGAAGGTGTGAATGGGCTGATTCTACCCACCAATCAGAGGCTTGCTCTAATGGAAGGTGTGAATGGGCTGATTCTACCCACCAATCAGAGGCTTGCTCTAATGGAAGGTGTGAATTTGCTGTCAGCAGTAGGCGTGTTGGCCCTGGTCGGCCTGAAGCAGTACCCCTCGGGAAGAGGGCCGAGAATGAGCCTTGGTTGGCCCGGGAAAATTCCAGGCCACCCAGATATGTAAACAACCTACGCTACCCGGCCCGGGCCGACCCGGTACAGGTGGGAATGGGGCTTTATGCTCCAACCCGAGCCCTCAGGTCCACCCACCAGAACCTACTAGAAGTTCCAAAGACCAGATATAAAAGTCGAGGTGATTGCTCCTTCCAGACTGTTGCACCACGACTTTGGAATGATCTTCCTTTATCCTTACGTAGCATTGACAGTCTGGACACTTTTAAAAAACAGCTGAAGACCCTTTTATTTAAAGCTGCTTTTACCTAAACCTTTTATTTTCTTATTTTTACTCTAATTTGTAATCTTTCATCTGTTTATGAAATTTGATCCATGGGTGCGGCATTGAGTCATAGGCTTTCTTGTAATCAATCCAGGTCGTACACTGGTTGTTGTATCGGGCTTTGCAGTCTTGGACAATTGTTCAGTCTATCAGCAGCTCTGCCAAAGCCCTTCTGTGCTGTGCTCATGTATTGATCCATGTGCCCACTCGTCGTAGTCGCTATGATGCCTGACATGAGCTTCCATATTGCGGAGAGACAGGCTATTGCCCGATAGTTGGATGGGACTGTACCCTTGGAGGGGTCCTTCATGGTCAGGATTGTGCATCCTTCAGTCAGCCATTCAGGGTGAGTCCCATCCTTTAGAAGCTAGTTCATTTGTGCCGCCAGGCGTTCGTGGAGTGCAGTGAGCTTCTTAAGCCAGTAGACGTGTATCATGTCAGGTCCTGGTGCTGTCCTGTTTTTATACCTGAGACTTTTTCCTGAATGTCTGCCACAGTGGTGGATACTGGCCTCTGCTCAGGGATGTTGCTATTTGCATGCCTCCTTCTCCCAAATGCCCTTCCAGTACTGTTCAGTCTAAAGCCTTGGTGGGTCTACTCTGCTGTTATTACCCTGCCACTGAGAATACACTTTACCTGGTTGGGTCGAGACGAGCTGGTTTATTTGTCTGGCTTCACTGTCTCTTGTGTATCTCTTTAGGTTTCCTCCTTGTGCCTGATAGTTGCCTCATTTCTCTCCATGCTGCCTTGATTTTGGCCTCCAACCTTCTCTTCCATGGTGGGTATTGTCTGTCATAGGTGCTCTTGTTCTTATAGCCAAGCATCTCAGCTCATTGGTCAGTTGGCGTCGGGGGTACCTGGTGTTTATTCGTGCCATTATCCTATCAGTCGTGTCAGGCCTAGTCCACACGTAGCCGGGTTTTTTGAAAACGAATATCCGCCCCTCCAGAAACTTGCATCCACACCACCGCGTTTTAAAAACAAACTCTGTCCACACGTACCCGGATAAATACGTTGTTAAGGACATGCCAGACCTGTAGGCGGCAGTACTTCCCCCGTTCTTAACCTCGTCCTTCGTCTGTGGTCTTACGCATGGAGCAGTAATTCCGCTTGCAAAAACAAACAAGCAGAAAGCGCTTGGACAATTGATGGATCGGGTAGTGACAGAGCGCAGCTCTGAGGGCTTCCATGATGCCGGCTAGTGTAAACGCAGGTCGCACACGTGATGTCAGCATTTTTTGTCGCGGAAAGTGACGCTGCGGACCTTAAAACTCCGGTTATGTCCGTCCACACGCAGACACCCAAAACGGAGAAAACGCAGATCTTCACTTTGGCCGGAGTTTTTAAAAAGATCCGTTTTCGTGTGAAAAAACTCTGTTTTCGTGTGGATGACAGGCCAAAACTTAGAAAAATATCTACGTTTTGGCAGATCCCCGGCTACGTGTGGACAGGGCCTCAGTATCTGCCTTGTTCAGCATTGTTTCACTTATTGGGGCTTCGTACCCAATCTCTGTATGGGTAGATGATGTTAACTGCCTTCTGACCTTGTGTCCTGGCTACCCCTTGCCGTAGTATTTGTGTTGAATCTCGTCAATATCTAGTTGTGATAGCAGTTGCCGTTTGTGGATGTTGGAACACTGAGCTACTAGTTGTTTGGCTGTTAGTGTTGAGTGCGGGATTTGAAGTAACCATTCTTCCCGCATTCCTTGCATGTAACCCCTCTGACTAGGGTTACTGGAGTAGTAGCAGCATTCCAAGAGATCCAGGTTCTGGCATCTCGCCCATTCCCATCTTGGGCCATTTGCCCACTTTTCATCAGGGTGCTCTGGTTCCCCTGCACCTGACGCAGACCTTGTTAGGCCAGGTGACGTCTGAGCCGGCATCTCATTAATTTTGGTTGCTCTCATCTTGGTTATGAAGTGGGCAAATGGCACCAAGGGTCTTGCCTAAGGATCCTTGGTAGGCAATAGCATCAAGGGTCTTGTCTTTTTTATACTATTTTTATCCTTTACCATTCAGAACTTTGTTTAAAAGTGCTTTATAAATAAAGTTATTATTATTATAAACCTTTACTCCAAAATCAGCTTTAACAGACGGCTACCAGCCCCGTGCTGCCTAGACGACCTCCTGCTGGAGTGTTGGATCATTTCTTTCTGATTATTGGTGTAATGCCAAATGGAATAGAATAGAATACTTTATTAATTCTACAGTAGGGAAATTAACTTGTTACAGCAGAACAAACACTTAGAGCAAAGAAAGAACAGTAATAAGGCAAGGCAAGGCAGCTTTATTTCTAGAGCATATTTCAAACACAGAGGCAATTCAATGTGCTTTACAATTATCAGGACATAATATGAAAACAACATAAATACACAAACTAAAATACACACAGATGAATTACAGTTTAGAGCTAAATAAGGAGACAAAGTTACAGCGCAGATTACGGTGGAGATGACGCATGATAAGAAACGATGCTTTTAAATGCTGATGAGTACATGAGGGTTTTTAGTTCTGATTTAAACAACACTAGGGTTGGGGTAGATCTGAGGTCATGGGGGAGCTGATTCCATATGTGAGCAGCCTAGTAGTTAAATGCATCTCCACCATGTTTGGTTCTGACCCGTAGTTCTACCAGCTGATTGTTTCCAAGGGATCTCAGAGCCCTATTGGGTGTTTATACAGGAATGAGATCTGACATGTATTTTGGTCCCATGCCATTGAGTGATTTATAAACTAGTAGGAGCACTTTGAAGTATATTCTGTAGTTTACTGGTAACCAGTGTAGGGATCTAAGAACAGGAGTGATGTTCTCTTAGTTCTTGTTAAGACTCTAGCAGCAGCATTCTGAACAAGCTGCAGTTGCTTCACAGCTTTTTTGGGAAGACCAGTTAGGAGACCATTGCGATAGTCCAGCTGACTAGAAATAAAAGCATGAATACGTTTCTCTAAGTCTGGTCTGGACTTGAGACCTCTGACTCTTGATGTTTGATGAAGGTGATAAAACGCTGATTTAGTTAAAGCCTTAATATGTCCAGAGAAGCTCAGGTCAGAGTCAATGATAACACCAAGATTTCTAACCTGGGTATTTGTCTTTATTCCCCTGGAGTCCAGCTGAGCAATAACATCCATTCTATCCTTCTTGTTGTCAAAGACAATAACTTCAGTCTTGTCTTTGTTTAGTTGGAGGAAGTTTGACTGCATCCAGTCATTTACTTGTTCTAGACACTAACAGAGTGAGTCCAGAGGACGACAGTCACTAGGTGATAAGGCTAGGTAGATCTGGGTGTCATTAGCATAGCTATGATAGGCAATGTTGTTATTAAGTATGACCTGACCCAGGGGGAGCATGTAGAGATCCAGACTAGCTGTTGGCAAGCTAGTCTTGTTTGGTCATAAATACAGCCAAGTATCAGGGACAGCAGTAGCTAAGGAGGTAGAGCGGGTTGTCCTGCAATAACAGCGTTGACGGTTCGATCCTGACTCCCAGCAGAGAATGGTACTGTTGTGCCCTTAGGCAAGTACTTGACCTGCCTTGCCTGCTGGTGGTGGTCGGAGCAACTGGTGGTGCCATCTCTCAGCAGCCTCACCTCTGTCAGTGTGCCCCAGCTTAGCTATAGTTCAATGTATCACCACCAGGGAGTGAATGTGTGAATGGGTGGAAGACTGATTGTGTTGTAAAGCTCCTTGGGGGGTTCAAGAATTCTAGAAGGAACTATACGAATGCAGGCCATTTACCAAAGTATCATGTGTTTTCTCTTACTAGCTTTGAGGTGGTTGGCTACGGCTGTATGACGTGTATAGGAAACAGTGGTCCGCTACCTGATCCAGTGGTGGAGGCCATAACTCAGGTATGTGTGTTCTTTATATTTATAATAATATATATTAGAAGCTGCCTTCATTTCACTGCTGCATCGTACACACACACACACACACACACACACACACACACACACACACACACACCCCTCTTCGATAGAGACAAAACAATAGGGCTGCAACAACGAATCGATAAATTCGATGAAAATCGATTACTAAAAGCGTTGGCAACGAATTGCGTCATCGATTCGTTGTGTTGCACAACTCTTCTTTATGTCTGGACTTGCTCTTTAAAGAGCAAGTCAAGCCCTACCAGAGTCTAACTCCACTCTCACTTCCTGTTTGAAAAATGCAACAAATGCTGTTGCCTGGCAGACCGAGAAGGCGGAGCTGCTAACAAATACACACACACACAGGCTCACGACAGCATTGTGACATCATAATGTACCAGTTTACATCATAGCATACCTCTTAGCCAATAGCAGTGGCAGATTTAAATTAAAATACAGTGCAGAGTTTTTACCTGACAACGGCACAACACTGCCAGTTTTAGGCAGAATATTTAAATTTTAACTAAGATGCACTGAAGTGCCAAATTATTGACGACACGTGTCTGCAGCACGATTAGATACTCGTTTATTTAGTTTATCAGCAAAAAAAAGTTGATTTGGGGGTGACTTGCTCTTTAAGCTGGTTAACTTGGACCAAGCATTTTAGGTCACAGATAGGTGTAGCTTAGGGTCTCTGTCTATACACCTTATAAGACAATTTAGGTGATGGCATGTTGTTTTTCTGCTATTGAACTGTTTTCTAATAATGTTGTGTTTAATAAAGTGAAGGAAGGAGAGAAATAACGTTTCCCTAGCAGTTTTTAAAAATGTCCCTATGTAATCCGATTAATCGATTAATCGTGTCGAGACCCCATCCGATTCATTGATTATCCAAATAATCGTTTGTTGCAGCCCTACAAAACAAACATGTTCACTTTTTTAAGGGTTTAAATTAAAGAAAAGCATTATTCTTAGTTGAGGCACTTATGCTCCCTGTCTCAGGCGTCTGGCCATTCAACTCAAATAACAGAACCTTAAATTTATAACAAATGACCTAAACTGCACATTGATGCAAAGACGAAACAGAAAATGTCGTACAGCGATGAGGTATTCATGCTCTATTGCCCTGGTAGCCTTTACCGAGGCATTTATATTGCAGCTGTCTTGTCCTTGTTACCAGTTGTGTTGTTGGATAAGCTGACACTTGTTGGTCTTTCAGGGGGATCTGGTTGCTGCTGGCGTTCTGTCTGGAAACAGAAACTTTGAGGGCCGAGTCCACCCCAACACTAGAGCCAACTACTTGGCGTCACCACCACTGGTCATTGCTTATGCAATCGCCGGGACTGTGAGGATAGACTTTGAGAAGGAGCCCATTGGTGAGAATTGTCATACATAAACAACATGTTAGTAGTATTTGAACTTAAGTACTCCTCAATAAGCTGATGTAAGTCTGCCTCTGTTGTCCAGTTTAAAATACATCCAACCTGCGGATGTTTTTGCTCTCCTGATGCAACGCAGTAGCTCAGCATCAGCCTGCTAGCTAACATGTTCTTATATCAATATCAAGAGGAAACTGCCTGACAACACTGAAGTCAATGCGGAAGTTACAAAAATTGCAGTTCCTCGCTCATCCACTAGGGCGGCTCCAGAAAGGAGCAAGTTCCCTTTGACCCCCATGTTAAAAAGGCCAATTTTCACAGCAGAAATAAACATGTTTATATTATTTCTAAAATTATTTTAGGTTTTATTTTTTTAGGTTTTTGCTCAACTGCCGTTTTCTGGCTAAAAGCACCCGCCAAGCTCTGTTAGCTTCGTCAGTTAGCTCGTAGCTACATCGGCTCAAGGTTTGATGAGTGTCAATCATCTGCCCCCACCCTCACTTCCCCGCTCACAGCTCCGTTTATTTTGTGGGAGTGACGAAATGCATTACATGGCCAAGATGGTGGTGGAGAGAACCGCCCTCTGGGCTTTAGTTCAGCTCTTCAGAAACCTACAATGTCGGCACAGAGGTTTTTTTCTTTATGTAAACAGTCAACGGTCTGAATTCCCACCTGCCATTAACTGCATGAGGTTACGGTGTTGTTGTCTATGAATATGTGTAAGATTTAAATGACATGTTATTTAATAAGCCATAAGACGTAGGATTCCATAGAAAATATGAAATCAACCTTATGGATCTGTTGGGTTATTTTTACCAGAAGATTGGACCTTTTTATTGCAGGGATTAGATAACAGCTTCGTATTCACTCAGAGACAACAGAAGAGAGAGTCTAGTTTAAAAGTTTAAAGATTTATTACTAAACAAATTAAACTAGACTAACTTTAACACTAAATGTATGGTGTAACTAAGGTGAATGAGACGGAGAATGGTGTGATTCAATTCAATTAAAGTTTATTTATATAGCGCCAAATCACGACAAGAGTCGTCTCAAGGCACTTCACATAATAAACATTCCAATTCAGGTCAGTTCATTAAGCCAATCAGAAATAATGTTTCACACACACGGGGGGGGGGGGGGGGGGGGGGGGGGACGTGTGTGTGTGTGTGTGTGTGTGTGTGCGTGCGTGCGTGCGTGCGTGCTCTGTCTTCTCCATCCCCAGTGAGTCGTGGAGGATGGCTGCTTATACTGAGCCAGGATTCTCTGGAGGTTTCTTCCTGTTAAAAGGGAGTTTTCCTCTCCACTGTCTCTGCATGCTTGCTTAGTTTGAGGATTGCTGTAAAGACTCTGACACTAGTCAGTGACTCGATGCAACCTGCTGGGTTCCTTATATAGGAAACTTTTTACTGATTGGCTTAATGAACTGACCTGAATTGGAATGTTTACTGTGTGAAGGTCCTTGAGACGACTCTGGTCCCGATTTGGTGCTTTATAAATAATCTGAATTGAATGGAATTTTCAAACAGAAGAATTACTACTGATTATTGAGCTTCTGATGCTTTGTGTGGTCTGTTCTCTGCCTTCAATGCAGCCACCAACTCAGAAGGTAAAGACATCTTCCTGAGGGACATCTGGCCCACACGCGAGGAGATCCAGGCTGTGGAGAGGGCTTTTGTCATTCCATCCATGTTCAAAGAAGTCTATGAGAAGATAGAGGTCAGGTCGAGGAAGCTTGAAATACGCTGTAACGGTTTGATTTGAGAGAATCTGACAGTAATGTGGGTCGCTGTTGCAGAAAGTAAATGAGCGCTGGAACTCTTTGGTGGCTCCTTCTGACAAGCTGTACACCTGGGACCCCAAATCCACCTACATCAAGTCACCCCCTTTTTTTGATTGTTTGGTAAGTAGGAATGCACACACACACACACACACACACACACACACACACACACACACACACACACACACACCGTTTAGATACTTTTGATTCTATTTTTTATTTATCTTCTAAAGCAGCTGGAAGTGTCTTTGTTGTGGACATTGTCCCTATTAGTGACAGTTTAAAGGCGTGGTTCACCAACAACCACTTTTTAATAAGTATTTCTGATTATAATGGGTCACTCTTAGTTTTTCCATGCAGACTGAACATGAATATGTTCTCATGCACATCTCCTGCATTAGCTTCTGGTAGAAAACAGATGGTGAAACCCTAGGATTTGAAAATTCTGACAACTACAAATGATATTCAATTAAATTCAATTCAACTTTATTTATATAGCGCCAAATCACGACAAGAGTCGTCTCAAGGCACTTCACATAATAAACATTCCAATTCAGGTCAGTTCATTAAGCCAATCAGAAATAATGTTTCCTATATAAGGAACCCAGCAAATTGCATCAAGTCACTGACACTAGTCAGTGACTTTACAGCAATCCTCATACTAAGCAAGCATAAAGCGACAGTGGAGAGGAAAACTCCCTTTTAACAGGAAGAAACCTCCAGAGAATCCTGGCTCAGTATAAGCAGCCATCCTCCAAAGCAGCCATCCTCCACGACTCACTGGGGATCGAGAAGACAGAGCACGCACACACACACACACACACACACACACACACACACACACACACACACACACACACACACACAGAGGAAGAAGAAATCGCATTAGAGATGATGCTAAAGATTTAGTTTCTAATAGAATTAATTTTACTTGTGAAAAATCCCATGAAGTCATTACTGCTGAGGGCTAAGGGAATAGATGGCTCAGAGCTATGATTCTGTGTGAGTTTAGCAACTGTACTGAAAAGAAATTTAGGATTATGCTTATTCTCCTCAATTAGAACTGAGAAATAAGCAGTTCTAGTTTGTCGAAGCTTATTTTTATGAAGCACAACACTATTTTTCCAGGACAGGTAGGCCTCCTCATGGTACATAGAGCGCCATGTTCTCTCCATTTTCCTAGAGTTTTGTTTTAAAGCTCGTAAATGAGAATTAAACCAGGGAGCCAACTTCCTGTCCCTAATTACCTTCTTTTTTAAAGGGGCAACATCATCTAATGCCACACGTAAAGAGGAATTCACATGATGAACTAAGGCATCAATTTGTGAGGGGCTAGAACTGAAAATATTGCCCTCTGTTACGTTCCTCTGAGATGCTGAGGACAGTAAAGATGGAACAGTTGATTTAAAAGACGCAACAGCGTTGTCAGATAGAGACCGACTAGTGAAATTTACTTTCATGTCTCGAGAACTCAGTTATAAAAAACTCAAAGGTTATCAGAAAGTGGTCCGAGAGGACAGGATTATGTGGAAAGATCGTTATTTCCTCACACTCTATACCATAAGTCAGAACAAGGTCCAATGTATGATGGCAGGAGTGGGTGGAGCTATGTATTCTTTGAGTAAAACCAATTGAGTCTAAGATATTACTAAAGGCTACATTGAGGCTATCATTTTCAATGTCCACATGAATGTTGAAATCCCCCACTACAATGACCTTATCAGTATTTAGCACCAAATCTGATAAAAAATCAGAGATCTGATCCAAAAACTCAGAGTAAGGGCCTGGTGGACGATATAAAACTACAAACAAGAGTGGTTTTACAGTTTTGCAATCTGGATTAGGAAAACTAAGAATAAGATGTTCGAACGAACTGTAACTATTAATTGGGAAGGGACTGATTAATAAGTCCGAATGAAAAACGGTTGCTACTCCTCCTCCTCGCCCTGTACTTCGAGCAATATGATGATTTAAATAATTTGAAGGAGTCGACTCGTTTAAGCTAACATAGTCCTCTTGCTGCAGCCAGGATTCTGTGAGAGAGAGCTGTTAACTTTATTTTCTCTCCGCCTCATTCAGACCATGGCGCTGCAGCCTCCAGAGTCGATAAAGGACGCTTACGTGTTGCTGAACTTAGGCGACTCAGTCACAACGGACCACATTTCTCCTGCAGGGAACATCGCCAGGAACAGCGCTGCAGCACGCTACCTCACCGAGAGAGGGTAAGAGAGCTCACCCCGTCATCTGCCTGACGGCTTTAACTGAACCAAGTCACTCGAAGCTTCAGTTCCTGTAGTCACTGCTGAGGGGCGGGGTCACACCTGGACAGGTCCTTCACAGAGCAGAATTCTTAAATCTATAAAACACGTGTATACTAGGGGTTGTATGACTTAATTTTTTTTTAAGTCGACTGTCAAGTAATGAAAATCGAGTCGACTTTGACTAGTCGTTCATGACGTCATACACCTTAAGCTTGGTTTATGCTTGACGCCTCCGCGAGGTTCGCACGGCTCCGCGCGGTGAAATTGCGTCATTTTGACAACCACGCCCCTCCACCGCGTCTCCGCACGGCCCAAAATTTCCGCATCGCACACCTAGGAAATTTTCTTACCACGCGGACGGTCGGACGCGGAAAAACATGGCGGACTGGCAAGAACTAGTATGACAGGTTCGTAAATACAGACATTTGTATGATTCAGCTCTCAGAGATCACCGTGATCAACATGTTGTTAATAATTCTTGGAGAGAAATAGCTCGCACTGTCGGAAAAGACGAGGACGCTGTTAAAAATGCTGAAATGCCATGTTGTAAACAGTAATTTCTACTTCTACTATGGTGTAGTGTTGGATGCATGCCGTAGAGCTCCATGCTGCCCCCTACAGTTTGGGAGAATATTGGCTCACCGCAGAGACGAGCCGCATCACCAAGCGGAAAGTGAATCCGTCAAGCATAAACCAAGCTTAAAGCGGCGCCGGGGGGGGTTGTTTGCTGGAGTTTTTGACAATTAAAATTGCGCCCACATATTCTAAGTTAAACACATCTCTTTTCACAACGGTAGTTTCTGCATCTTTACTGCTCCGCTTCAGCCCTCTCTCCCCTGCGCAGCAGCAGCAAACTGATGCGCCTGCAGCCTCTCAGAGTTCCTGCTGCTCTAAACTTTAAAAGAATAATTTCATTTTCTGTTCCTCACTTCTGATTACCTTCAGTGGTGTCTGTTTGTTGCAACCAGCAGGTACAAAAACTAACTTGTTTTTATTTGACTATTTTTCTGTCCTGCCTGTTTATTATCTTCCTGCATCTCCTCTCAATCCTAAAGAAAAACTGCTACCTGGGTTCATATATATTCACCTTATGAGTTACCTTTAAACTGCAGTTCTAAAAGATCTACCGACTGCAAAAACAGCGGAGTGCTTGCCCGCCACATCAGTGAGGTGAAGTTATTGGAGGACAAAACAGATGATGCGCCCCGCTCCACAGCAGCGAAACGCATCAGGCACAAATAAAAGACAGAAAACATAAAAGGAAATGAGCCGACATGAACGATCATGTGTTAAATTTGTTTTTGAGGTGGCGACACTTTAATAATGTTACTGTGGCCGTGCTCAGGATGCAGATGTCTGGAGCGCGTCAATAATCAGAGCTTTGCATTCACATGAGGGGAAGGTTAAATTGCAAGAGGGTAAAGGTCATAATTTGGTTAAATGTCCGTTTTACCGCGGGTGTCAGTACCGACGCTCTGGCACAGCGCATCGCCTCCCGACACGCAGGAGGGGCTCGTCACCTGCTGACAGCAGGCTGCTGTCTTGTTCTAAAATAAAATGTTTTATTTTATTTTAATTACCTTAAAAGACTCAAAGTCTCTTTTTACACTTTATATTTATTTAATCAGGATCGTTGTCAAGTCGACGCCAGAAACAATGAAACACAACTTGAATATCAGATGAACAACAAGGCTTTATTCAACCGGCATTCATACAAGTTATCAATCATGAACGAAACATTTCTCTTACCGTTGCTTATGGGTGGAGAGCTGAACACCCCAGTTAGAAAACGTAATCCATGATAGGTGAAGAACTGAACACATGTAATCCATGAACCTCGTCAGGTAGAATCCTTCAAGCAGCTCTAACCCCCCTGAGCCCTGCTCTGCTCCTTATACATTCCCTGATGTGCGTGCAAAGCTGCACACCTCCACCATGATTACCTTGATTACATCCTCATGATCACATTATGTTCGGCTCTACCATGATTACCCTTGATTACATCCTCATGATAAGTGTGATTGACAAACAGTAGTGATCAATAACTTATATAAAGCAATTATACAACAGATGACAAGTTCATTTTTATTACATTCCACTCTTGAACTTTTCATCTAATTTATGTAACATATCCATCACCATTTCCCCATCAAAACCAACGTCATTTATAACATACCTTGTAGTTCCACTTTAATTTTCATCGTAGTCTTTGCATTATTACCCAATTTATTTCTCTTCTTAATCGAATAACATACCAACAAATAATAAGATTACACAATGTTAGAATGCTGATTATAATTAATGCTGCAATCATAGGTGGAATTAACACTTTATTAGCGGTACTCGACATGCCTGTAAATATATCCCACCAATGATGAGCGGAAGCCTGTTCAATCAATGTAGCAACATGTTTTATTTCCCCTTGTGCCACAAGAGTAGACACCATGAGCCTGGAAAGGTTGGACCTATGAGAGTCAATCAATTTTGCCACTTCAGTGGAACCATCCAATGCGCATTTGAATCGTTCCAGTGAGAGTGTCCAAGGGGAGTGTAAAACCTCCCATTGTATCTTAGTCAGCCGACTAGATACAGTGTAATTACTCAACCAATAGGTCACGTTATTCCATTCCCACATATGTATACCCTTGAGACAACCTGAAAAGGGAACTGAAGGTACCTGTGGGGAATTGGTCATTGTAGCCACGCATAAGGTGTTAGGACCCACCTGCCAAAACTGTTCCTCTGGGGGTGTGACCGTCCAATCACAGAGTACGACCCTTGAATCAGTGAAACATGGATTGCTATGTCCTTTTACCAATGGGCAGGCTAAACCCTTATCAGTCTCATCACAGTGTTTTACTTCATATGTTCGATTTGTTTTAACATCCCACCACTCTCCACTAACATGGAGATACCAAAACCCTTTAGTGGTTATCACCGGCAGTATCTGATATCTACACACAGTCATTACTGATGTCATATTATACTGATCCCAGTATCCAGTACACATAGATTTATTACAAATCGTCATTTCTGCATGTGGCTGTAGCCATAATGAACTACTGATGTTCCATAATGTTCGCCATGCATGATAGTTATTACTCATTACCTGTATTTGAAACCTATTTCTTTGTGTCTCAGCATGAATAGTCTGCAAGGAACAGACTGTCCAATTACCTATGTGTGACAAATTATGCAATGCATCATAAATTTCATTCCAAAGCTTTAGATTCCATTTAAATACACTTTTCCACACATCACTTCCTTCTAACTGACTAGATACAGTCGAAGGCATCCATCTTGCAGTCTTGGTGACAGCTTGTGCGGTGTATTCTCCAGTGTTGGACAGCATAGTTCGTGTTACCTCATTGTCTGCTGTGTTAGCCAGACCATACAAAGTTCCAGTTCCTCCTAGCACGGTGTCATACCATGCTCGCCTCCTCCTGTTGCAAGGCGGAATAGGAGGGAATTTCACAGTCCATCGCACATATTCGGCTACCCTTATTTGTCCCATTTGTTGACAAGTGTGAACCAGGGGAGCTACAGCTGTCTGCGTAGCTCTAGCTGTGTCGGGCAGCACCCAGAATATGTACAAATAGGCGTGTCCTCCTGTGATTACAGTTCCATTCCTGATCCAGAAATCGTGATCAACCTTCATACTCCAATTTGTGCCATTTTGTATGCAAGTACCATTCCCCTGATGGTATGCACAGATGCGCGCTGCAGCATTAAAGGTTACTGTTGATCCTTGAACCAACACCCCCGGGCTGATCACCCTTCCTCGGAATTTAAGACATCCTCTGCACCGGTACATCTTACCGGTAGATGTTAGGTTTCCCAAGTAGCAAGCGTCATTTGCTCTGCATGTGAATGTGCCTTGAGTGCGGTTGGACATACTGCTAACCAATTCCAGATGGCCCATGACCCCTTCTTCCAACACTTGTCCTTCCGTGAGCCCCCAACAGAAATGTGCCCTCAGTGCGATGACAGCGAGGACATGGAGGACGATGACCAAACATCCGACACCACCAGGTCCGCGGAGCCCATCCATCGCCTCGACAAGGGTTCAATCCTTTTGTAGGGGAAGGGGACCCAGTCAACCACCGTCACTCAGACACCCGCCTATGGGATACATACAAAACTGCAGATAGAATGACAAGCATTAATTTTCTCTCCTGTAACATTTGTTTATCGGAATATTAATCCATTTTTCCTCTCCGGGGAACAATACACTTACCACAGCATCTTTTCCCTGTGCAATAATCTCTCCAGCTCTGGGAGGACCATTGAGCTGCTCCACCCACACTTTTGCCCCCGCAGTAAAGTCTGATGATCCAAACCCAGTTTCACCCCTCTGAGTGATAGTGGTAGGTTTAGTAATCTCTTCAACTTTGGACATTACACACCGTTTGATTACTAACTGAGCTATCTTGTCTCCTTTTTCCAGTACCAACGGTTCTTTACCTGTATGCTGACACACCACACCTATTTCCCCTTGATAGTCTGAGTCTATTACCCCAGCTAAAATGGTTAGACCCCTCAAAGCTAAACCACTTCTTGGACACACATGAGCATAAGTTCCTGGTGGACATTGAATTCCCAATCCTGTTTTTACCACTGTCACTTTATTGGTTACTAAAGTGATGCTTTCCAAGATTTTAAGATCTAATCCCACAGAGCCCGCAGTTGCTCTAACAGGGAGTTCTGCCTCAGAAGTTAGTTTCCACATTCGTATAGGAGGGTCAGTAGAAGTTGTTTCCCTTCCTGCCCTGGCAACCATTAGCATCAGTGGAGTAACTCCATCCCCCACGGGTCTGTTATTTAACTGATGTACTGCCCTAGTCAGATTTTCTCTCCATTTGTCCAAAGAATTAGTAACCGATAGTTTCCTTAGTTTCTCTTTCAGTAACCCATTCATTCTCTCAATGAGTCCACTAGCTTTCGGGTGATATGCTACATGA